GGACGACTGTTTGTGTGCTGCTCCGTGATACGTGCTCCGTGTGAGCTGCTGTGGTCGTTGGCCGGTGGTAAGTGTTGTTTCTCTCGGCGTAGTGCTTGGTGCTGCTAGGTGGCTAATGCTGGTCTGGTCACAGGTGGATGCTGGCGGCTGGAGTCCAATCCTTCCTCCTCGTGAGTGTGTGTTCTGAGAAGGTATGCACATTGTTACGTGCCACTGCATCAGTCTTAGTGCATCTAGCACATGCTAATAGTGTTTTAGTGATTTGACTAGGTGTTGTAACCACCTCATTGGACCGCTGCTGCTTTGTTTTGTGTTATTTTGTGCTGTTTTCACTGTATTGCCGTATATCTTTTGCTGCCTACGGCGTTCTTCTGCGGCCATCAGCGGCTTCACGACTTCCAAGATACACGCTGTGGGATTGTAATGACAAACGTGCTGCTTTCCCCCCCAAAGTATTACCCTGATTTGGGATGTCATGACACATAAAAACAAAAAACACATAGTTAGCCCAAAAGTTTGTCACTGTGTTTATTTCTGTGTAATTTTTCAGATAATGAATCTAGTGATAAAGAGGTGGGTCAAAACACAAAACATTTGATAGTAGGAGAGAATTCAAATTATTGCATAAAAACAAATGTGTATGTCTGTTCAGACCACGGCGAATATCTCGGCTCAGAGAGAGATCCAGAAAGAAATTCAGAACCTGGAGAGTGTCCTCGGACCTCACAGTCTGTCCTGTGTGTCAGGTACGTGTCGGTCACTCTGACTGATGTTGTCCTTCACTTAAAAAGCTGCTTTTAAAACTGTGAACCATCGGTGTGACGAACGTCTTTTGTGTGTGTTTTCAGATGATGAAAGCAGCAGCACCAGTGATGACGTGAGTGAGCCAGTCACTGATAACATTTGTTCCAGGAGGATGAACAGTTATTGGTCACTCAACCACTTACAATGTAATGACAGTGATCAGTGGACACCATTGACTGTCCCTCTCTTAGACGTCTCTGTCCCTCCCACACAGACATGCTGCCCTCAAACGTGGTTAAATGCATACAACACGAGCTCACGTACTGTGTGTACTGTAGCACACACCAGAGGAAAATTTGTTATAGGCGACCACTAAGACCCCCCCTCAGCCCCCGCCTGTACCCCCCCTTCCTACTTTCTCTTCCCCGTCCTTGTATTTTTTTCCATCTTTTTTGTACTCTTCATTTTGTTGCATATCTATCTACCTGTCTCTCTGCTTTGATTGGGGGTATTCGATGGGGTTATCCAAGGCAAATCACCTACCTTCACGAGCAAGGTGACAATTACATGATCTGCAAGCTGAGGGACATGCTCATCGACATCTATAATCTGTGGGAACCCCTGTCACACACATGCACACACACACACACAAACACACACACAAATACACACACACAGAGACCATCCTGCTATGTATGCCTACCAGCTTGCACAAACACTTTACCACCCCCACATGTCTCCTGCAGTTCCTCACACAGAGGAATGGAGAAAGCAAATCCAGCAGGATGACACACACACAGACAGGTAGACAGACACACAGACAGGTAGACAGACTTACAAACATGTCATTATTCAAGCTTCTCCGTGACAGTGGTTTGCCTGACAACAGAAGGGCTAAGGACCTTACTTGCCGTTCCATGATTCTCAGATTCTGCTAACACAGACAGACACACACACACAAACCTGCAATTTTGCACCTTTCATCTCATTTGGGCAAACTCAACATCGCAGGTTATGGGGCAGGAAAACCAGTAGTCACACAAATATTTTATGAGACTCTGCAGAATTAAAGAACACATTAAATGTGAAAGGGAGATTCAAGCAGTTTCAATAGCTGTGAATCTTTTTATTCTAAAAACTATAATCGATCAACTTTTCTATTTAAACAATTGCAGAGGAGTAAGAATGTAGCCAGCACCAAAGAGCACAAAATATACTGCAAGTAAACTAAACTACATATTGTCAAAGCAGAGCATTAAAATACGATTTGTATGTGTGACTCACCTGATGGACACAAATTGGTTTCACAATAGTGATGGGAAGACCGACTCTTTTTACTGATTCGAATCTTTGACTCTCGAACAGTAAAATGAACGAGTCGTGAACGAATCTTGAACTAATCATTTCATTCGTTTTACAGCAGGTGGCGCTTTAGCCCTATTGTGGGCGTTGTAAAGAAGGCTGCGGTTCTCCGACACTAAATACTGAAGGCAACATGGTTTGCTTCCGCTGACAAAGTCTACAAAGTACACAAAATACCATAAGCAATTAAAACCATGCGAAAAGCTAAGAAATAAAAACACCACAATTTGAAGATGAATGAGAGCAAAAAAGACCCGAGCTCTTTCACGTGACAAATTAAACGAATCTGCGAGAACGAAGCAAAGATTAGTTCACAGAGAGTGATTCGTTCATAGTGAAAGATTAGTTCACAGAGAATGATTAGTTCACAGAGAGTGATTCGTTCATAGCGAAAGATTCGTTCACAGAGAATGATTAGTTCATAGCGAAAGATTAGTTCACAGCAAAAGATTAGTTCACAGAGAGTGATTCGTTCACGGCGAAAGATTAGTTTGCAGCGAGTAATTCTTTCAAGATTCAAAGCGTTTATTGTCATGTGTACAGTAAGGAAAGCAGGTTTCCCTGCACAATGAAAATTTTACTTTGCTGTCCACACTGAATGCCAAGGAAATCAAGAAAAAAATATATACACAGGAATACATTAACAAAATATACACATGAATCAACAGAAGTCTTTTCAGTATTTACAATGTGCAGTAGTTAACACAGAGCGGAGCGAGCAAACACGTCTGCCACGGGGGGTGCCAAGATCTTGTCTCGTTCGTAGTGAAAGATTAGTTCACGGCGAAAGATTTGTTCGCAGTGAGTGATTAGTTCGCACAGTGGGATTAGTTCGCAGTGAGTGATTCGTGAGTTCAATATGAACAAATATTTAATATGACTCGGTAGTCACGAGTCATGAAAGATTCGTTCATTTTGAACGAATCACTCGCGAACGACACATCACTAGCTCAGTCGCTTGCATGGTAGCTAAGAGGCAACTCTCTCTCTCTTTCTCTCTTACACGACCACTCGTGTACACACGCACACACACACACACTTATGCCTTGTTTTGTTGTTGTGATCATTGTTTATGAGTTCAATCACCGTCATTAACTTGACAGTGCTGTATAAAGAAATTGATTATTTTTGTAAACTGTATTTGTCTGTGTTGTTACTTTATTCATTGAAGCCACCCAATTTGCCAAGAACTCCAGAAAATCCTTCAGATATTTAATTGTTATTGAATACTATTGATTGTGGTATACGTGAAATACTCCAAGTAATACATTATTGCTATATTAGTAGGTTAACGTAATAATTAAAGATAACTTTAATGAGACTGATCGTGTTATTGATTTGAGACTGGTTAATAACACCGAGTGCTGCTAAGCAGCACACGTCCCATTGCACCTACACTGGACAAAGCAAAGAACCTAAAGAAAGGGTTAGATCCTCCTGCCCCTCCTCCTACGAATTACCAGTGAGCATGTACCTGGGTCGATTCCTCAAACCCTACTTCAAAGACAAACTGACAGGACTGGTAAGATCTCAAATGTGATATGGGCAAAAAAAATGAATTTGGTTCACCTTTGTAGACAAAAGGACAAAGTGCGTCTGTGTGCAGGGATCACCTGCTAATCAGGAGACAAGAGACAAGGCCAGCAAGCTGACAGGATTTCCAGATGACGACAGAATGAAAACGAAACGATGTAAGAATAAATCACGTTTATGATCTCTGCTCTGTTGTCTGTGCTTCTTTGTCCTTTTGCCTTTGCACGCTTGTCCATTCTGTCTCATTTTTTTTTCATTGCCTTCTGTCTCTGTTCCTCAGATGGGAAGGACAGCCTTCATGTGTCTCCAGACGTACCAGCGCTTTGTCTCGAAGACAGTGAAACGCAGTAAGTGGACCCCTGATGAGGACAACCAGCTGAGAGAGCTGGTGGAAAAAATGAGGATCGGAAACTTCATCCCCTATACGCAGAGTAATGACCACACTGAGCTGTGGAACGCATCGATGTCACAGACACGGTGTCAGTTTTACCTCCTTCATTCTCTGTTTGTCTCTCAGTCAGTTACTTCATGGAGGGCCGGGAGCCCAGTCAGCTGATCTACAGGTGGAACCACGTCTTGGATCCCACGCTAAGGAAAGGTCATTGGACCTAAGAGGAGGACCGGGTAGGCATCTGTAAACTGTACTAGGCCACAGGCAAAACCCAGGCATCGTTTATCAAGTTTTCAGTATCGGAGCAAAAACCGCTAAAGATTCTTACCGATATTACGTAATTGCTAATATGCTAATATCATCTTAGAATATCAGTCAGCTGATATTATTGACCGACAACACCCAAACCAATTGCTCTGACTCTCGCTCTTCTTCAGCTTCTCCTTCAAGCTGTCGCTCGTCATGGGGAGAAAAATGGGTAGAAAATCAAGTCTGGACGGACACTTCCTGCAGAGACAGGTGAGACCTGAGAGGGGGAACAGTTAAAATTGTATTTTGATTGTATTTCACTCCATGAAGGTATCTGTCTGTCTTTCATCTGTCTCTCTGGGTGCAGATACTATGACACTCTGAAGTCAGGAACAAAGCGAGGTACATTCAGTGAAGAAGAGAAAGAGCTGCTGCGGACACTGGTCCGGAAACACGGTGTCGGCACGTACATGTCTAGAACGGAGGTTCCTGTCACCTCCAGAAATGTAGTATCATGCCAAATTGTTACACATAAAATGTATACTATGTTTCAAAATGAAAATGTAGTTTATGCTAACTGCACTTTTGATTAGAATTGGAATTAGAGAAGTAAAATTCTGAGTGTCACTGTCTCTCTAGTGGCTCTGGTGGGCCGCATTAAATGACATTATGGACCAGATTTGGCCTGCGGGCCTCGAGTTCAAAACGTTTACAAGGGGAACCAAATGCCATTTGTTGTGTCTGTACCATAGTTTGAGCACCACCGGCCAAGAGTATTTCAGGTGACATAGAAGTAACAAATTCAGTATTGATTAGTCATTAACTTAACTCTACTTCCAAAATGTTCCTTGTCCCTGTTCTAAATGTATCTTAAACATGGCAAAAAATACTAACTTGTCCAATGGTAAACCTGATGAGAAAAACAAGCAACAACAGTCACAGACTCCACCTTTAGGTCCAAGTCTGTCCACGAGTGTAGTGACTCCTGGCGGATGTGTCCTCCAAGCGCACTCCCAGCTCCGAGGCCCACGCCTTGTCGTCACTCCCAACCCTCCCACCATCCCCGCTGCTCGTCGGCTCCTCCCTTGTCAGAGACTCCTCGCACCTCAACCACCGTTAGTCCCCGGAAATCTGAGCCCTCTGAACCAACTATCTCCTCCTGCTGTCCCCACAATCTTCTCTTCTGGTCCTCTCCCTCAGACCTTCATCTTACAACCCATCCCAAACCCGTGCCTACTGAATCCTCCCCCTACTCCTTTATCTGAAGCCTCACAGCCTGTTGGAGGGGGGGTCAAACCAGCCACTGCTGGACCCCCTTTCACTTCTCCT